CTGTATCTGTGTTAATTGGTTCACCTTTTCTTCGTTGAGTAGGGTCTGTCAGTCTGTCTGCCCATTCCAACTTCTTACTGGAACTCTCCCATTCCAGTCCTTTTAATGACTTTTTGCTTTCTTCATGGATGATGTTCTTGATGTCATCACACAATTCTTCTGGTGTTTGGTCATCGGTGTTCAATGCATCAAGTCTATTCATTAAATGGTCTCTAAATTCAGAAGGGATATATCCAAGGTTATATTTTGGATTTTGTAGACTTGTATTGTCTTCAACTTGAACTTGCATATGAGCAGTTGATGGTCTGATCCACAATACTAAGCTGCTCCATCACCACTTGCCACAGAAGTAGTCAACCTGATTCTCTGTTCTCCACCTGGTGAAGTCCATGTGTATAGCCATTGTTTGTGTTGTTGAAGAAAAGGTATTTGCAATGAATAAGTCGTTGGTCTTGCAAAAATCTTTCATGTGATCTCCAACGGTATTTCTATCACAGAGGACATGTTTTCCAACTACTGGTAACACTTCTTTGCTTCCAACTTTTGAATTCCAGTCTGCAGTGTTAATCAACACATCTTGATTGCATGTTCGGTCGATTTCAGACTGCACAAGTTGGTAGAAATCTTCAATTTCTTCGTCTTTGCCTTGAGTGTTTCATGCATAAATTTGAATGTTAACAGTAACTGGTCTTCATGTATGGATATCATCCTATAACTTATAGCATTGAACTTCAACATAGATCGTGAAACAGTCTTGTGATTATGAAGGTCATGCCATTTCTCTTCAATTTTGTCATTCCTGGAATAGTATATTATATAACTCTGTCAGTTAATTACAGATGTACTTAGAAGGGTGCTCATCATACAATGAAAATTTTCACTGTTAATAGTATTTAACATTATGAAATGCCCAGGGCTTGGAGGTGGCTTTTCACTTGGGAGTTGATCTATATTAAGGCCAGGGTCTGAGTAGGTGGTCCCTGGACTGAGGGCTCCATTTTGCTTGGGAGTGGTTCTTTATGTAGGCAAGGATCTGTGGTGTCCACACTTAGTCTGGACTTTCAGGGGTGGATCACCAGGCCTGTGTCCCAAGGCATCACTGACTGGATTCAAACTGCCAGCCTTAGAGCTGGTCATCAGCCCTTAACCATTAGTGCTATCCAGGGACTCCATCTGCCCTGAGTCTGATTGGAAGATACTCCCCAGACTTCCCTGAGCTTCATCAGAGCCCTGATGCTGAGGATCCAGGCAGAGTCCTTTCCCTCAAAGGGTCAGACTGTTTTTCTGTATGTGAGAATGCTTCCTCCTGTTACAACTTTTGAATTCACAGATATGAAGGGAGGCACAGAATCAGACAAATAGAGAGATTCCCCAAGGGAAATAGTGAGATGGAGAAGAATCCACAGACAACACCAAGCAACTGGCCTTTAAACTACATCTGCACATCCTCCTGGTCTTGGTGGGTCAGGTGTGCCCCCTGCTATCTGACCCTATCACTGCAGGAAAGGTTTGTGTCAGGGCTCACACTGATTTCCTATCACTGTGTCAGTTTGTACAGTAATACAAGGCTGTGTCCTCGACTATCAGACTGTTCATTTGCAGAAACGGCATGTTCTTAGCATTGTCTCTGGAGATGGTGAATCTACCCTTCATGGAGTCTGCATAGTATATGTAACTACTATCACTATTAATGTATGCAACCAACTGCAGGCCCTTCCCTGGAGGCTGGTGTACCCAGTTCATGCCATAACTGCTGAAGGTGGATCCTTCAAAGTAGAATCTCAGGGATACCCCCCCCCAGGTTCTCTCAAGCCTCCCCCAGTCTCTGTCAGCTGCACCTCACATTGAACACCTGAAAACACAGAGACATCCTGGTCAGGAAACCGTCACACATGTCCACTGTTTCTCTCACTCAGGTCCATTCACATACACTTGCTGTCCATAAAATGACCTTTTAATACAGCAACAAGGAAAACCCAGCCCCGAAAAGAGTTCATGGAGACTAGTCTGTGTTCAGTGCAGATCACTGAATGGGAACACCTGGAATGCCAGCGTTGGGGCTCCTCTCCAGAGCTGCAGGTTTGAGGTCAGGCTGGTTTTCATCAGCTGAGGGATGGACCATATTTGCATGTTCTCCTCCTACATAGTAACATGTGGAGCTGGATGTCTTCAGAGGGGGCAGTGTCCCAGAACAAACCCGAGTATCCTCAGAGAATTTGGTGGCAATGATAACAGTTGGACAAATGAGCTGTTCTCATGTGGTTGTGGTACAGAGTTCTTATTTTATTATTCCATATGCCATCATTTATTCATGTCTACATTATGGAAGACAGTATGTACTTTTATTTCCTTAACACCTTTCACCCGACAAACTTACATGGATGGAATTAATATTTTTGTATTTTAAGAGCACGTGTTGATTTTAGTGCTCAATATTTCAGTGTATCCACAAATCACACCTTATTTATCAATTCACCTGCTCATGGACATATTTGAATTTTTGCCAATTTCTGGTCATTATAATGAAAAGTACTACTCAGGTTGGTGATTCCAAACTAAAACCAAACCCACTCCCATCAACCTGATTTCAAGTAATGGTGACCTTCATTATGTTCCCAAGGCAGTAAATCTTTACAGAAGTATATAACCTCACCTTGTTTCTGCAGAGCAGCTCATGGATTTGAACCACCAACCTTAGGGTTAGCAGTCAGAAGCTGTAGGCACAGCACCAAAAGAGCTCCTTTAGGTTGAAGATTTGACAGCAGAAAAATGGAAGGATGTTGATTTTCTTACAACATCAACAATAACAAACATTGACAAAGTTCAACTTGACTGTGTATTTCACACAATAGTGACCTGACGCCACTGAAACACACACCAAAAAAACTCATTGTCAGAGACAGGTGTTTCCAGGAGAAAATTAGCCCCACACCCTTATCTTACCAGGAGAAGATGTCATCAGATGGTCTTTGAACTTTAAGATAAACTCAAGTATTTAATAAATAGTTGAAAGTTAAAAGAATGTGTTAAAGTAATTAGACTGTCAAGCTCCCAGAGACAACAGACCTATGAATATTTCATACTCTATTGCAGACTGTTCCTTTAGGACTGGGGTAATCTAAAAATCCTATCTGCTTCACTACCTGTGTTGGTAACTAACATAGGCAAAGAGTAGCCACTGCCAAATTATACCATTACCTCCATCTCATGACCCCAATGCAGAACAAAAAATTAACAGTCATGGTTAAATTCATCAAATTGAGTGTCTTACAGGCACTGTGGAATCTCATAGAAAATGGGGGGACAGAGAATAGTATGAGGTGAAACTATGTCCAGAACAGCCTCCTATTTCTTCATTAAGACACAAAGACCTCAATCTGAAGGGGAAAGACATCCAAACTAGAAGCTGAGGGTACCAGTGAAAATAATTTGCGTCTTGAAAAAAGCACAGAAAACAGACCCATTGTCACGGAGTCAATTCCAATTCATACAGACAATATAGGACAGAGGAGAATTACCACATCGGGTTTCCAACGCTGTGAATCTTTGCAGAAACAGACTTCCTCATCTTTCTCCTGTGGAGCAGCTGGGGGGTTCCAGCTGCTCACATTTGGTTAACAGCCCAGGCCTCTAACCCCAGCACCGACAGAACTCTTCTTCAGGTAAGGTGGGAACAATGTGGAAGATAAGACACTCTGCCAGCCTTGCCTCTAGAGAAGCAGGGGCACTTGGAACTCCACACAGCAGACTGAGGTTCACGATGTCTGCCTCGGAGAGATGTTCAGTGGATGAGAGAAATACCCTTAACCCAAACTCTCCCACAGCACTAATCATCCTCATGTCAAATATCAGTGGGAAGCACCAGGGAAAGCTGAGAGACAGATTCTCTCAGGAGAGAGCACAAAGTGAAGATCAAAGCCAAGGATGAAGTTAATAACA